GTTCGTACGAAACCTTCGTACGAACAAAAGTAAGAGAAATTTAGGAGAAGAATACGAACATGTTCCTGCATGAGGCCCAACCACCCTAAACACTGCTCAAAATCTACTAAGACATTCATGCAGAGGAACAAGTACAATGTTCTGGAATGGCCATCTCAGTCCACAGACCTGAATATTACTGAAAATCTGTGGTGTCACTTAAAGAGAGCTGTCCATGCTCAGAAACCATCAAACCTGAATGAACTAGAGATGTTTTGTAAAGAAGAATGGTCTAAAATAGCTTCAGCCACAATCCAGACTCTCATTAGAAGCTGTAGGAAGTGTTTAGAGAATGTTATGTCTGCCAAAGGAGGATCTACTAAATACTGAGGTAAGGGGTTTTTTTGGTGCCCAGATTTATGCACCTGCCTAATTTTGTTTAACCAATTATTGCACATTTTCTGTACATCATATAAAATTCATTTCACTTCTCAAATATCACTGTGTTTGTCCCCTATATGATATATTTAAMTGACATTTTTTTATCCAAACAGTCAATGATTTACAAAGGTAAATCAGGAAAATTAACAAGGCTGCCCAAACTTTCGCACCCCACTGTGTATATATATTTATATTTTCATATGGTATCCCAAAAATGCCATGTTTGCTGTTAGGGTCAATATGCCATCCATTCAGCCATCTGTCCATTTTCTTCCACTTATCTGGGATTGGATCGCGGGGGCAGCAGGCTAAGCAGAGAGACCCAGACTTCCCTCTCCCCAGTCACTTGGACCAGCTCCTCTGGGGGAATCCCAAGGTGTTCCCAGCTGAGAAACATAGTCCCTCCAGTGTGTCCTGGGTCTTCCACTGGGTCTCCTCCCAGTGGGACRTGCCCGGAACACCTCACCAGGGAGGCATCCAGGAGGTATCCTAACCAGATGAACCACCTCAACTGGCTCCTCTTGACGTGGAGGAGCAGCGGCTCTACTCTGAGTCCCTCCTGGATGACCAAGCTTCTCACCCTATCTACAAGGGAGAGCCCAGCCACTCTGTGGAGGAAACTCATTTCAGTTCATTTGGCATTGATGCACATGACTGAAGAAATCATGGACAACCACTTGGAGTATTTATTGATTTGAAAAAGGCATTTGATACCGTTGATCATGATGTTTTATTAAATAAACTGGAAAAATATGGAATTGGGGAGTGGTGCAAAACTGGCTAAGAAGTTATGTTCAAAATAGGAAACAGTTTGTTCAAACTGGTGATTAAAAACCATGAATTAAAATTATAACTTGTGAGGTCCCACAGGGGTCAGTATTGGGACCGAGTATCAGAACTGTGCAAATATATTTTTTATAATTTCTCTTGTTTAGGAAATAATCTCCAGCAGCTTTTAGAGAGCGTAACCACAGAAATGACAAAATTGAAACACTGGTGTATGCAAAAACACAAATAAAAGTAATGATTGAAAGTACTGAGATAGAAAGAACAAAACATTTAGCTGTAAGAGTTCTCTTACAGTTCTATGGGATGTGTTTCTTAACTTCCTGCTCCTCCAAGAGCTTGTTTCTGCTGAGGGAGCCTGAAGGCATCATGAGACCAGGCAGCGTGTCATGCTGGGTTGGAGTGTGAAGAGGAGCTGCAGTCTCATCCTGCGCAATGAGAGTAGAGGAAGCATCATCACGTCACCCCCTCAGCAGGCAAACCTTTTGGAAAAGTCAGAATGTAAAAATGTGAGAAGCACGTCAGACGTGGAAAACACTGACTAACCGTTCGATGAATAACCACGGACTGAATCCKTCTGTTGAGTTTAAATCTCATCTGAGTTGGCCTGCCTGGTTCACAGGACGTCCATCGTCCCACAGAGACAAGTCTTCCACCWGGTCTGTCCACTCGTCCACACAGGAGGAGCTTCCAGATTATAATCCAACTCTTTCTCACATCCAGTTCACCTTCAGAGAGAGTTCAGATGCAAACAGAGGATGAATTTTAAAATAAACCTTCTGAAACACTGGTTTAAAGGCTTAGCATTCCTTCCATGTCAGAGTTTTAAATTAAAACAGGTTGATGCTGCAAAGTGACAGAGTTAAAGTTGCAGTTTTGGTTAAATTATGTTATGTTAAAGTTTTATTTGTTGGACCAAAATGAACACAAACAACAAAACTGTTCTAAAAAGGAAAGGTGACWGATGGAGTGATCCTCAGTTGTCTGCTGCTACACAGAGCTTCRAAACAAGAACATCTCTGTTTAGGAACATGAAAATAAAACATTYAATGATTGAATATATTTAGCCCTGAAACCAGAGAGACCAGGAGGCATTTTTACACAGTTTCTACCCTGATTTTGCCCTGGTTATACCCTGGTTTTACCCTGATTTTACCCATATTTACCCTGGTTTTACACAAGTTTAACCTAATTTCACCCAGATTTTACCCTTGTTTTACTCTGGTTTTGTTCTGGTTTTACCCCAATTCTGCAGGTTTACCTTGATTTTACACAGGTTTTACCCTAGTTTTAAACCCAGTTATACCCAAGTTTTACCCCRATTTTACCCATGTTTACCCTGGTTTTACATAGCTTTAACCCCAATTTTACCCAGGTTTTACCATGGTTTTGCCCTGGTTTTACCCAGATTCTTACAAGGTTTACCCTAATTTTACCCAGGTTTTACCATGGTTTTGCCCTGTTTTACCCGGATTCTCACAAGGTTTACCCTAATTTTAGCCAGGTTTACCCGGATTGTACCCCAATTTTACCCAGGTTTTACTCTGATTTTGCCCTGGTTTTACTCTGGTTTTGCACTGTTTTTACCTGTATTCTACCCAGGTTTACCCTGATTTTACCCATGTTTACCAAGGTATTACCCAGGTTTTACCCTGATTTTGCCTTGGTTTTACTTTGGTTTTGTCCTGCTTTTACCCAGATTCTGGATTCTATCCAGGTTTACCCTGATTTTATCCAGGTTTACCCTGATTTTGCCCTGGTTTTACCTGGATTCTACCCAGGTTTAACCTGATTTTACCCAGATTTACCCTTGTTTTACACAGCTTTAACCCTGATTTTGCCCTGGTTTTACATTGGTTTACCCTGATTTTACCCTGGTTTTACATAGGTTTACCCTGATTTTACCCTGGTTTTGCCCTGATTTTACCCATGTTTACTAAGGTTTTACATAGGTTATGCCCATGTTTCAAGGAGGCCGTGCACACGGACACACGCATTTCACTGTAGTTGCTGAGCTTCAGGGTTTTTTCTATATTTTCTATATATTTTCTAAATTTTTTCAAACTCTTTGTGAATGTTCCTGACCCTTAAATGTCCTTGTTCATTTTTCTTCTTTTTTGTAATTTTTCTTGTAATTTTTCCTTGTCRCTTTTGTGATTCACACTTTTTCACCATTGCACCTCCTGCTGCTATGGGATAAGATTACTGTCAGAATTAATTGTATGTGTAGAGTCTAAATTTGTACATTTAAATCCATAAACGTACATATTTTTTTAGAATTGTACAATAAACATGAATAAATTTTAGATTTGTATTTGTATTCATGTCAAATCACACATATTTTATGTGAGAATATAAGT